CACCGTGAAGAGGCTTCGCACCTGTTATTTCAAATAATCACGCTATAATCAACTTTACCATCATAACAATAACGCCCTTCAAATCTATTAACATGGATTTATTTAAACCGCCAATGAAGAATGTTCTTCATAGAGTAATATATTCGTAATAGAAAACTGTAACAAACGAAAACGTTTGGTATACTCAGAGTTTGGCACTGAGTGTAAGAGTATAAAAGCATTATTGGATAAATACAAAGTTTAAATAATATAAAAAACAAACAACAAAGAACATACTTTTGGTTTAGATAAGTCGTAGGACAAAACTTATAAAATAATAATAATGTAATGTATAAAAATCCGACCGTATTTCAAAATCCTTCATCTTTTTGAACAGCGAAATGTAACGCTGGAATTGATACAGACGAATCAAATACGCGATAGCAAAATGAACATTCCATACAAAACCATAATAATATAAAGGATAAATTCCATTCGAAGTTTTATACATATATCAGTTACGTGACTTATTGCGAGTATCTAGTGTTACTTGTATTAACAAGACGATTGACAAAAACAGTATTCGTCTCGTAAATGTGTAGCGGGCTTTAGAGCAAATGTTAATATATTATTATGTATTAGCTTTGGCTCGCAACTCCATCCGCGTGGAATTAAATAAAAATACAGTGAGTAGCCTATGTGTTCTTCCAGACTATACTTTACATATATACCAAATTTCATCGAAATCTGCTCAGCAGTTTAGGCTACAAACACTAACAAACATCCATCAATCCATCTATCCATCTAAACTTTCGCATTTATAATATTAGTATGAGTATGATATATGTACATACCAATTTTATCTCATTTTAGCCAACACTAGCTGTTGCCGTGCGGCTTCATACGCATGGAATTATAAAAAATTATTATATTGTTTACATTTGTGAAATTTACAATTGCAAATGTCAACAATCAAATGCACAAATGGCAATCTTACATCCTTGATGTTGGCAGCTTGGTGTTTATGGTCCCTTTGCCCATTAAGCATTTTTTTTAAATTTATGTGTCGTAAGTACAGGGCTTTTTACTAAATGAAGGAATATTCAAAATTTTGCTATGATTGCTGGCATCCAATGCCACGAAGTAGTGTGTGTTTACACTGTATTACATTAGTATAGAAGTTTAGACAAATAAAAATGTTCAACTTTTGTTGAATTACTTTCGACTCACATTTTATTTATCAGTCTCTTACCGTTGATCTGAAAAATCATACTTAGGGATCAATTAACGAGTTACCTTGTTCTTTTGTAATAATTTTTTAAAGCCTGCTAAGCATAGTTATAATAAAAAAGCGTTTCTTTTATTAAAAAAAAAACACTTTTGATCTGATTTAACATAAAAAATTTAAACAGAACTATTCAATTAATAATGAATAAAAGCTTCCGGTTTGCAAAAAGTTTTTGAAGTTTTAAAAAATACAAAAAGCTCTCTTTAACAGTTCCTTTGTCGTAACAAATTAAAAGAAGTAGGTATTCTGTAACGAAGCTTTTTACCGATACTTTAATACATTTTATTTATAAATCCAACATCTCGATAGTTCGAAATAAAATTATACACTTCAACCTAGCTTTTAAAAGCCTTTAATCGAATAGTCGTTATGGGCGATACTAGGGAGTAGTTTACAAACTAAGTTAAATAGTTACTAGATACTCTCTAATATAAGGCCAACCACACACCTTCAGTTATAACTGCAGTTTTAAAGCGGGCTCACACCTTTAACTAAACTATCGAACAACCGCCGTGCGATTGTCGATTGTTTCGCATCCCATTCAACAGTTCGCGTGTGCACATCACCATAAAAACTCATAGGAATCAAAGCGAGACTAAACAGTTGTGTGTTGACTAAATAGTTTAGTCAAAGATGTTTGCGTGCTCTTAACTGAACTGTCGAACTGTACAGTTAAAACTGTGCGTGTGCTTGCATAACTTTAACTGTACAGTTTAACAGACTGTTCAAATTTTTCATATACCTCTTAAATTTTAACTGAGAAGTTAAAATGCAAAGTGTGCATCGAGCTTTGTTATTTCTAGCTTTGTCACCTAATCGGTGATCAATTTTGGTATAACCTTTTACACTCAACGAAATAATTCAAGTGGCTTACTGACTCTACTTTTGTTTAAAGTATTCACAAGTGATTTGACATTTTTTGTTTTAATAATTGAGATTTTTAATTTTATGTATTTCGTCAAAAAACTGAAAAAAGGGAGACGTGACACCTAACTAATCTGAGAGGAAACCATTGCAGTAATTAGCTTATTAAATTTTGATCGTTTAGCTACAACCGGCAATTCTCTTAGAAATTACTAATTAATTCTGCATTATTAATTTCAATTTAAACTAGTGTAGTTGGGAAAATGTAACAATACTTTTTGGTCCAATTATTGTTAGTAAATTACACAAAAAATTGAAATAAAATAATAATAACCGCCATAAATGAAATAGTGGTACAGTTTACACGTTCACCATAGTCCACGTGTATGCATGAGTTACCTCAGTAGCGTAACTGCCTTGAATCACAGGGCTTTTAAACGGGGCTTTAACTGAATTATTTCATAGCTATGTATACAGCACGAGTGCAGGGGCCCGGGGGGAGAGGCACCGTTTCCTCCTCATTTCCGGTACTCGGGGTCATATAAAGGCGAGCTCGGTGTTGCCTTTGAAAGTTCGCTTGCTTTAATGATAATAAGAATCTTAATTACACCCCCTTAATGACCCTGTTAACTTATAATGGTATAACCATAAAGTGCAAGGAAGGGTGCACTTAAGTGGAACAAACTATGTTATGTTTGGTCAAAGACATCCCACTTTCTGAGATGCAACTAACTTAATACGCAAGTGGAAGTTACCTTAAAATCTATGAGACCACTTGACCTTATTTAGTTTAAGTGGTTTAGGCACAACTTTTACTCACTTTAAAAGTCGATAGGCAGTTATTGATAATCGAGTAATAAAAACTGTTATGTAACTTTCCTGAACCACATTCATACTAAAGGCGTTTCTTTACGCTTCGTAAGGCGCGAAATAACAATACATTTCTCAAATTACTGTCAGGCGGCCGTCGTTTAAACAATTCCAATTAAAGCTGACCAACAGCATGTTGCAATTAAAATATCAATTCGTTTCATCTTACACATTCCAAGTAGAATTATAGCGTCAATATGTAGTTCAAATTTCAATACCTTTTGATTGTAATGCAATTTATAATTGCACATCTATGTTATAATAGATTGAGATCCCAGACAAGGATGACGACACCTAAATTCTAAAACTTTACTGTTATTTGATTAGATAGTACTCGTTTGTGATGTAACTGAATGGCCATTAGTTATCCTGTCCGATGGGGCAGTTACAGCCCGTAAAGTTTTAGAATTTAGGTGTCGTCATCCTGGTCAGGGATCTCAATCTATAAATTGTTTAATTGAATTTTAGAAATTACTATAAACCCGCAACGCAAGTGTCCTTGCAGTAGAACCTTTACCCTAAAATTCCGCTTCATTAGTATTAATACATTTTGTTATCTCTTTCATTTCCTTTGATAAAATAGAGACAATGAATGCATAAATAGAGGTGTCACGCAGTGGAAATTTATAGTTACAAATATTGCAGTTATGGTAATTCTGTTTGTAATCCGATGTGAGTGCATTTTGCAACGTCAAATGCATTTCCATATTTTTCCTTAACATCATTTAACATTACCTTAAAATGTATTTTCTAAAAACCTCTTACGTCTAAAGAGCTTTACGTTAGCTAAGAATCCGCTGAATTTTATGCAAAATATACTCCGTTACCAGCATACTAAAAATGAATTCGCTCGAATGCAATAACTTCGTTCTAAACAAATCTTGTTTGCTCCTACAATATTACCTTTGAGTTTCATTTTACAACAAAATTTGTAATATAGACGGAATATAACTCGATACACATTTTACATCAAAGTTGGTTTGCTATAATGTTTTTGAAAGATCCGGAGAAATTTAATAAGTTATAGAGTATACTTACTAACATTTTTAAAATTAAATTATTTTAATGTTTTACGGTATAAAATTCCTTCCACCAATGTTAGATAATGCTCCATAATATGTACTTATATTAAGAGTAATCTTGTTCATGTGGTGAAGCCATACTACCATAATATTATAGGTAAGCCCGAAAGTTTAGACGGATGGATGGATGTTAGCGTTTGAAGCCTAACGGCAGAACGGATTTCGATAAAATTGGGTATAGATATAGAGGATAGTCTGAAACAACACATAGGTTACTTGGTTTTGATTTTTTTTAATTCCATTTCGGACGGAGTCGCGGGTGAAAGCTAGTGATAAAATAAAGTGATAAGTCGGCCATCACATAGTAAATGATTGTGCAATATCAATGTTGCAATACATTACTGTTATCGAAATTTTGTGGTTTATGTTCGGCTTTATTTGTTCCAATCAAAGATTCGTCCCTGTACGAATGATTGGTTGTCCGCGGCTACGGGATATTAGTAAATATTTATTTCAATACGTTCGTATTCCCATTTTGTACGTTTATTTAAGTAGGTTCCATATTCCACATATTCAATTATTTACACTCTTTTATACTCCCCAATAAGGTTTCAGTACGGACAAAAGTACTTTTAAAAGTATAATGATGAAAGTATAATAATCTATATTTTAATTAAAGAATTAAAATAGACATTTGATGAGATTCATAATCTTCTTTGCAAAGCTGCGTTCCATTAATACCTTTCTGAGTTATTTCTATTACAATTTTATTTTGACCAAGATAATTGTGGTGCAATACTGCAATAACAGTAATGCTGAAAATAATTTTGGTGGTTTGCTGAACCTAATGACATTTCTTACGAAATCTTAACGTGGGTTGGGACTGCCGAATACGAGTCAAAAACCATTGTTATCTCGGTTTTCTTAAAGACAATGTAAGGAATGTCAATATGTTTTGTGATTCGTGTATGACTTACCTCCTTAGCCAGTTTGGCATGGTTGGACTTTACTTCAGCCAGCATCGAGCGGAACTGTTGACTTTCGTATTTGAGACGGCTAACGTTGCTGTCCAGTTTGTCGACGCGGGCTTCGTGTGTGCGAGCCAGCTGAGCCAGATCCGATGTTTCCATCAACGCTTGTTTCAACTACAGAAACGGTAATATTTTTAATCATACAGCATCAAAATTAAGATGAAAATCTCTAGATTTAGAGAAATTAGTACTTTAAACTATTACGAAAATTTCTATGTACGGTGTATTATTTTAGAAAGTATTCTGTGTTTTTTTTTTCGGCTTATTTAGAGAATATAAAAGCTAAAGGTAAAGATTTTTTAAAATCGGCCCAGTAGTTTCTGAGCCTATTCATTACAATCAATCAAACAAAGTTTTCCTCTTTATAATATTAGTACAGAAAATAGTACATTTTACTCCTTATAACAAAGAGATTCAAAAATTATATTACGTAATCATTATAATTTACAAACTGTAATATTATTACGTTGTCATGCGACAAAATCTGTATTAAAAAGTTGGTGTGTGCATATCGTTGCATACAGGTGACTCTGACAGCGCAATACGCGTATACGTAATGTAATTTAAACTAGATTTCCCGGCTAAAATCTGCACAGATTTTTACTCGATATTTTCGATAAAAAAGCTAGAAAAAAATTATTGCATGATGCCATGTAGGTCACAAACGTTTGCGCAAAACGCAGTTAGCAAGATGTTGAATATTTAATAATAAAGATTTACAAAATTTTAAAATGCTCGGAGTTCATAAAAATTGTTTTGAATAATTAAAAATGTTCAAATGGTTTCGAATACTTTTATGTAAAACTTTAGTGTAGGAAATCTTTCATTGACTTCAATGTTTAATTAGTACAAAGTAATGTAGAATTTATTAGTTTCAATATCGGTTCAGTATTCGGCCTTTAGGGTGAACGTAAAAGTTTCAGTCTTAATGGATTTGAGAATTAGAAAGCTTACCTCGTTCCGGATGACGTGAAGGTGTCGCAAAAGCTTCGAGTTGTTGAGGCTCTCGGCCATTTCCTTCATCTCAAGTCGGAGCTCTTCCATTGAAGTCTTGGCCCATTGCAGCGTCAGTTGTTCGTTACGCTCATGGTTGTCCGTTGACTGGGTCGGCTTCGCTCTGGTGAAATAAATATTCATTGTATTTTTTTTAATATCACTAGTTTAAAACGCATCAATTTAATCGAATCGGTTTAGCAATACATTGAAATTTTATGTCTATGAGATTTACTCAAATCTATTTAAGGAGAAACTTATCTACAATATTTATAATTCGATGCCATTATTTGAAGTAGTTATTTCGTATGTTTCTTTACATTGCCTTGATAATCGAATGTACTAAGATTTTCTAAATAAAACAGCATTCCGCTACCTAATACGTACCCTGAAGAGTATTCCGTTAACAGACTACTGTCGAAGGGTAAACACGCTACGTAATGTAAATTAAATGCAACCAGTACAACGTGAACCTCGTGTACCAACGCTACGCCTCGCCAAATGCTACAGTTTAATTAAGTTAAAGCCATACACATATGACCTATAGATAGCAAATCTGTATCGTAAAGACCAGACAAATAAGGCTACTTGTGCACTAAATACACTCAGTGTATTTATAGATACTTAATTTATAGGTTTTATAACTATAGTTAAGGTATTAAAAACGCTCAACAAAAGCCGGTCGCACCGGTTATTAATTTCATTCTACAAAACCGTTAAAAGCTGGTATATATTGATAACGCACCATTATAACCGAGGCGCGGGCACAGTACGTTTAATCAACGCTTCGTATCAAACTATTCAGCAGAATATCGAAAGTGCATCGAGGCGTGAGCTTGCGTGAATAATTTCTCTCTTTGAATAGCGTAATTCGATGAAGCTTTGTCAAACGGGGAATTGGCCAGACGGATTTAACAGGAAGCATTCCTCCCTTGTTGGACTTGTTTGGCGATTTCTCGTTAGTACTGAAGTGCCGAGAAAGATATTTGATAGTCTATTCTTACTTAATTGTTAAATGAATTCGTGTATTTTCGCCCTTGATACAAAATATCGGATGATTTTTTGCAGTTGAATCTTCTGTCTTTGTGATAGAAAATTATATCGTTCGGCGTTCAACTATTAACTTCAACATATGTAACATAACTTACGAACTTATGCACGAATGAACTAAATGGACTATTAATGCAGCGCACCTAAACTCGCCTTCGTTACCGCGACAAAGTTAAATACAAACCTGCGCAAGATAACCAAGATAACTAACTGTACCCAAGTTACTGCGATGGCTTCAACTTTGATTGTAACAGTTAAGGAGTATTTGACTGTCTATTCGATTGGATAATGGAAACGATAATAGTCCATATTCTATTCTACCTGCTCTAATTACGCCTTTTAATTAAATATGTCCTTCTACAAGAAAGTTATTTTCATGTTTAACTAGACAGAAAAATAATAGAAAATAGAAATAATTTTATTGAAAAACAAGACATTAACAATTACAATAACAGTTATACCAACTAAAACATAATTACAATTTGTGGTTAATATAGGTTTAATCTGGTGATGCCCACACTAGGCAATATCTGTATCGTGGGCAACGAAAACAGCAGTACAAGTCTTTCCTTACATTAATTACTAAATACCTACGCTTACGGCGTTTCGGTATTATTTATGAATTACATATTGCGCAGTTTTGTAAATATACAATTGCCTTACTTTCGGCAAACCGGAATCTCTATATAGTTCTGTTAAAGCTTAAAAAAGTTTTAACGCAAACGGATGATGTACAATTAGGAGCTGTGTGTTATAAAAAAAAGTAGTTGCATATTCTCTCGCACGACGTCGACGTAACTAGTGAACAGATGTGAATATATTTATGTAAGCAAGTAAACAGGTGTGACATGATTACTCAAAATAAAATGATGTGATACAAACTGTCCTGTCTAAACCATTACTTGGAATATATTTGAGTGGATAATATATTTTCATTGTTAAAAGGTTCAGTGCAAATTTGTTTAATACAACTGAAGATTTTCAAAATAAAAATGTAGAACGGAACAGTCTTACAAATATTATAAATGCGAAAGTTTATATAGATGGATAGATGTTTGTAAGAGTTTGTAGCCTAAACGGCTGAATGGATAGAGATGAAATTTGGCATAGACGTAGAGGTAGTCTGGCTACACGTAGACTACTGACTTTTTTTAATTCCACGTAGACGGTTTCGTGGACGAAAGCTATTCTTGTACTAAGTCTTCTTCTTTTTTTCATGACCATAGAGCTGATTAAAGTCAGACAGGTATGCAAAAAAGTACAATGATCTCGCGATTGTCTCAGTTGATATTTAAAATTATGTTTACAGTTGTATAGTTAGCTAGTTAATTATATCTAAAAGTAGGTAACGCAACAACGAGATTTAACAATATTGTAGTTAGAACAGGACCTGCGGAAGTGAGTTTATGCATGAGTGCGCCATGGCCTTGTTACATGAACCATCCCCTGCCTAAATTAGTGCCTAGCTTACCCACGTGTTTACCCACTCTAGCTAGCCTATTTGCATTACGGCGTTAATTTGTTACCGTACAAACAATACAAATCTTGATATTTTTGGGTATTAAATACTTGGATATTTTGAATTCTCGCAATAACCGAGTTGTTCGAAGGAAATAAAAAAAACCAGATAGATCTATGTAGGAGATAAAGTACTGACATATATTATGTACATTTCACACAAAGGACAATCTCGTAATGCGTTCTTTGTTCCTTTTAGTACCGACGTCGACTCGTAATGAACAGTAGATTCATTGAAAGTGAAAAAAAAATTTAACGGCCTTCTCGAGACAAACTCAATATATTTTTTTAAAGTGCATCCATGAGACCGCGAAATATTTAAATTAGAGCCAGTGTTGACCCATACAAGATTTTGAAACGTAAAATCCTCAACCAAAATATTTGCTTTTATTATGTACATACGTAGTTATTTAAACTAGAAATATTAGAAATACTGAGAGGAAGGTTGGAAAAACTTTTTGAAACGAAATTTTCATTTAGATAGGATATACAGAAATAAGATTACATTTCCTGTACGTTCGCAATGGATAGAAATCTCGACTAGAATAATTAAAACAGGGCTTGTACAAAGTCAGTGCTGTGTGTAGAGCCGTTGTAGAGTGCATAACATAGGCAACATAGCATCAGAAGAATCCTGCTTTATTGGAAAACTTTAGTACTCAACAGAGGGATAGTCAAAGGCCTTGCTTGTATGTGCAACCGTTTGCCTCTTTGTAGTTATTTTAATACAGGGTGTTAAGTTGTATTGTATGAGCGGTAGTTTATTATGCAACTGGTCTATGTTTATGTTTCGAAGCTTCACTAACGCTGTTTGGAAGCACACAAAACACTTTAGAGTCTAGATGCAGAATTATCTCCTGCATGTTACGTCGTTAACAAAAATATTATCATTATTTAGAGTGCAACGTTTTTATAACGTAAACAAAATGAGATTTTGTAAATTATTTTCTTGTAATATTTCATTTACATTCGTGTAGAACGCTACATAACGATGTAGTTTCTGCGTCAATTTTTTTTTCGTAATCACACATTTAATATTTGAAGTGTACATGTATTTTTAAAATATTACCTATTTAATATCACATAAAACCTTTATTTTATATACAGGCAGTATCTTATTTTATCATCAGTTAATAGTTTAACATAACCTAAGCTTGGCGTGCATTTCTGTGCACAGTGAACAATGACGATCAAATGGGGTGCGATACGTAGTACAATTTTCACAAGAGAACTTTATTACACAAGGAAAATTAGTACAATAAACACAAAAGCCTGCTTGTATTCAATAAATTTCTAAAATATAACACCTATTCACTGTGTTTATATTTTTGTTTTAGGCAATGAGATATTACTTATGGACTGATGCTTAGTTACCCTAACTTTGACTAGGTACCAAAGCCCTCTGTGGGGACATATGATGGTATTTGAACACATGTATCATCTAATAGTTCTAACAAAGTGTAGGATAAATTCCGCTGAACAACTTCGACAGGTAGACGTAGTTAATTCAAATAAACTAATACTTTATTACAATAGCTAAAGTATTGAAGATGAAACTAGAGATTATCTCAATCTTGTATCCCCTCTGCTGCCGTGGAAGCGTATCCTAATGACATTATTTAGTGCACGACGCAACATCCACGTTGTGATGTTAATTTTGGTGTAACTACTGTTCACAGCTCCGGCAATATAATTCAAATTCATGTCAGCGTGCGACATATTAATATTTAAATTAACAAATTGATGCAAGCAATTAACTTTAGCTATTCCCGTTTCCGTTAACAGTTAACTTTGATATGGTTTTTGGTTAACAACATTTAAATGAAGGGAATATACTAAAATAATGTGTATACCGATTAAAAAGAATATTTGAAAATTATGCAATTATTTCCATAACTAATTCAAATAAATCACATATTTAAATATTTTACTTCCACTTATCTTGTTTACGATAGAATATTTAGATGCAGAATATCCGAGCAAATAAAAATTACCTTCGCAAGTTATCATACTGAAAACAAGTTCTTTCAAGACATCATTAGTGAGTGAATAGCTTACATAAGGCTCGAGTGTTCTTATAGAGATCTCATATAAAATTATGGCGTGGAATTTAAAGAAATAGCAATTCGTATGTTTTTTTTTAAACGTAAACAAAAAGATTCCCTTTAAATAGTAGTAGTAGGGACTTCGGTTTCCGCAACTCCACGGTTAGCGCGTATTTTGCGTATTAATTAGTAAAATTATCAATGAAAGAAATCTTTAATTTTAATAGAAATCTTGAAAATAGTTCCAATAGTTAAAAATTTAATTTTGATCCACCATGCTAAAGTTCCCTATAATTATATAAAGGTAACTAATAAACTTGAATAGTTTCTAAAGGCAGATGTAACGCCATGTGTTCACTGGCGGCATTAGAAAAAAAAACGTAAAACTTTAAAATAGCCTTTATAACAACCACCTTAAATTCCAAACGAGATAAGGAATCGGAGTGTCGAGAAAAAATCGAATAATTACCGAAACCGTGAGTTTTATTACCGGCGCTTAAGATTGATATTC